TGGTTTATTACTAGTTAACTGCTGGTTTGCGGTCCAGCTCTCGGTCAGTCGGCCTGCGCGGTCGGCCGCAGCGCTCTCCTCAGTGGGTGGCTGCAGGCGTCCATCTTGTGCAGCAGCTCCTCCTTCCTCAGGTTGTAGAGCTGCTCCAGGATCAGGCCCTGCTGCTGCTCTCTGGCCTCCTGCTCCTGCTGGTGGCGCCGCAGCCGCTGCTGGTGCTGCATCTGGGCCTGCAGGTCTGCCTGGTACGCAACCGCAACCTGCCTGCGGCTGCGCAGACAGAGGGAAGAGACCATCAGACCTTCAGGTCTTTACATTTCATCACATCCTTGGCGTTCCTCAGGGTTGTGTGTCCGGTCCTCTGTTTGTGGTTACTATGGTAACGGTTTTTACTGAGTTTAACAGCTTCATTATCGACTGATAACTAATAAACTAGCTTTAAAACCATAACTCAGTTTTAACTAAACACAATTATTAATATTTTCCTAAACTTGTTTATCATTTCATGTAATAAACTGGTTACTATGGAAACCATATGATCCGATCAGTCCTCTCTCTACTATAATAAATCCAAACAGAAATATTTAATACTCAGGTTTCTGTTTTGTTATGAATCTGTTTTTATAACATCATCAGAAACAGATTTTTCTGCTTCTGCTGGTTTTCACATTTCACAGCCTTTAGTTTTATAATTATTATTATTACTAATTATTATATGTCTGTAAGCTGCCAGGTTCCTGTCAGATGATGATGATGGTAAATCCAACATGGCGTCCCTCCAGACTCCTACCTCCTCCTCTCCTCCTCGTCCTCCATGGCTGCCAGCTCCCTCTGTCTCTTCGCCTCCTCCTTCTCCTTCTGCAGCTGCTCCTGTCTGTCCTTGTTGGCCTCCACTGTGGAGAGTCAGGAGGAGAAACTGGCTGAGAATCAGAAAACCAAACGGCTCCATCCTGATTCACCACCTCCTCCTCCACCAGCTCCTCCTCCTCCACCACCAGCTCCTTCTCCTCCACCACCTCCTTACGTTTGGTCTGGATCTGCAGCCGCTGCGTCTCCAGCACCTCCTCCATCAGCCGGTCACGCGCCTCCCTGCGCAGCCGGCTCTCCTCCTCCCTCTTCCTCCACGTCTCCTTCAGGTTCTCCTCCATGAGCTGCTCCGTCTCCTGCTCCTCCTTCTTCTGCTTCTGCAGCTCCTCGGCCAGATACTGCCGGTACCTCTGCTGCTCCTCGCAACGCTCCGCCTGGAGACAGACATGCAGCAGGAGCAGGAAGCAGACTCCTGACCTCTGACCCCTGAGCCGCCTACCTTCCTCTGCGCCGCCTCCTGCCGCTGCTCCGTGTCCTCCTTGTCAATCTGCTGCAGGATCTTCATGTCCGTCTCCAGCTCCTGCTGCTGCTCCAGTGCCAGGCGCCTCATCTTCAGTCGCAGGTCCTCCTCCAGCTGCTGCCGCCGCTCCCGCCGCTGCTGCTGCAGCAGCTGCTCCTCCCGCTGCTGCTGCAGGAGATCCATCTTCCGCTGCTCCAGCTGCCAGAGGATGGAGGAGGACAGAGGTCAAAGGTCAGGCCTGGGCAGGGAGCGCAGCCCAGGCCTGAGGCGAGGCGGGGCTCACCAGAAGCAGCGCCTCCTCCTCCTTCAGCTCCTTCTCCCGCTGCCGCCGGCTCTCCACCGCCTCCATCTGCTCCTGCAGCATCAGCCGCTGCTCCTCATCTTGCTGCCGCTGCTCCCGCCGCCGCTGCGCCTCCTGCTCCTCCTTGGCCTGCCGGTCGGCCTCCCACAGCCGGTGGAACAGCTCCTCCTCCTCCTGCTGCCGCAGGCGCTCCTGCTGCTGCATCCTCAGCTGGTCGCGGCGCTCCCGGGTCACCTGCTGCTCGCGGCGCCGGCTCTGGATGCAGCGCAGCTCCTCACAGCGCTCCCTGAGGAGCAGAGGGAGCTCAGCTTCACCTCCACACTGGTGCAGGAATGAGTTGGTAACCGTTTCTGTGGACCAGGTCCTGGTCCTGGTTCCACGGTCCTGGTCCTGGTTAGGAGCTCCCACTTCCTGACCCCAACTCTTAGTCCCAGGAACCAGGAACAGGGAGCCACCAGTCCCTGGTTCCTGTGTGAACAGCTGGTGTTCCTCAGACAGACCTGTGTTGGTAACTGGACTCGGTTCTGGTCAGCGGTTCTTACGTGAACAGCTGGTCCATCTTGTCGGACACCAGCTGCAGCCTCTCTCTCTCTCTCTGCTCCTTCAGGTTCTTCACTCGCTCCCTCATCCTGGCCTGCCTCTCCAGCGTCGTCTCCTTGCTCTCCTCCAGCTGCTGCAGCAGCTGCTGCTCCTCCGCCACCAGCAGCCGCCTGAGCCTGAGGGACACACAGGAGGTCACCGAGGTCCGCTCCGGGTTCTGGTTCTGGTTCTGTTCTGATACCTGTCTCTCTTCTGGCTGATGTTGGCCTCGTGCTCCTCCAGCTCCGCCTCCACGCCCCTCACCACGGCTCCTCTGACGTAGCGGCGCTCGCAGCGCTGCAGCCACCACAGCTTCATGATGCAGTCCCGGTACTCATTGGTGAACTCCAGAACTTCATCCCGGATCTCCTTCAGTTTCTGGTTCCGGTCCACCAGGCGCTGGAGGGGATCCCTATGGGCCGGCTTGGATCTCTGAGACAAGGAGACAAGGAGACGTTACAGCAGGAAACATCAGGACCGGTTTGATGCTTTTAGAGCAGGCATCGTTTCCCATCAGAGGTTTTTGCAGCATTTTGCATCAGAACCTCCTAATAAACAGTTTCTGCCCTCAGTTTATAAATATAGTCAAAAGGAATTTCTGTTATGAAACTATAACATACATTAAATTATTTTAATCATATATTTATTATTTATTGTTATCCACATCTCTACGACTCTGACTCGTTTCTGGACCCCCGCTTGGTGGCCGCGGCCCCCGCCCCCTATCTTGGGGACCCCGGTACAACAAACCCCTCAGCTTGTTATCATTATGATTCATAAAGTCACAAACTGCTTTCCTCCTGCAGTGGTCCGGCTCGGGGGGAAGCTGGACCGAACCGGAACCGAGCAGAAAAGCGGAACTTTTCTCACCATCGCCATGGTTCGGGGCAGAATGAGGCGGATGTCCCGACATTTCAATCTCCCGTCGCTCTCCATCATCTTCTCTCTTTTCTCACGGAACCGGATCAGTTAAAAACAGAACCGTCTCTGCGGTGGGCCGAAGTTCGGTTACCATAGCAACGGGACAACAGGGGCGAGCTGACGTCAGACGGCCGGATGCCGCTGACGTCTTCCTGGCAACCAGTAAACTAAACTAAATTAAACCGTAAATGAAATGATTTTATTCATGTTCCTAAAGGCTCATTTTATTTTCAGAAAATAAACTATTTTCATGTTTGTTTAGAATAAATTATGACAGGAAAATAAACAACCAGCCTGTTTTCTTTTACCCGGACGCTAGGGGGCCCCAACGAGTTACGGACAGAATCACCTCCGGTACCGGTCCAGTTCACAGCAGAACTCTGTTTAGTTTTCAGCTTTGAATTAAGATTAAGAATATTTTAATTCAGATGAACTAAAACCTTCATGTTTTATCTTCTGATTTTTTGTCTAATTTTCTCATTTAACTGCCTTTTTTATTCATTTATTTTATTTGTGAAGCCATGTTGAGATGTTTGGTTCATATTTATGATGAAGAAATGGGTTCCTTCCTGAAGTCGAACCGGAACCGAGCAGAAAACCTCGGTTCCGGTTGATCATAAATATGATCAATAACCAATATGATTAATGATCATATTTATGATCAATAATCTTTCACATTTTGACAAATCCTCCGGACATTGGTGTAATTTGACATGATGCCACGCGGTGGCGCTGTTGGCTGTAATTAAAACAAAACCAAAAACAGTGACGTGAATCTGTTTCCAACATGAAAATTAAAATCTTAAGAAATATTGAAATAGTGTGAAATGAATAAAATAAAATGAATATAAAGTATTAAACTAGAGTTTTATCATAAAAAATGAGAAATTATACTGATGAAGCAAATAGTTTTATTGGGAATCGTGATTTTATTCCTCTGGAGACATTTTTATGGAACATTTATTGCACAAACTGAGTTATGGATAAATGACCGGATGGACCCAGGAGACATTTGGCTTGATGTTTACAGATATTTGTGAAGAATCATCAAGTTTTCCTCAGATTAAATGATCTTTATTGTCGGTGAGAACCAGAAACATCCAGTCAGAGTTTCTGTTCGGCCTGCAGCATTTCGCTGATTCCTCTCACGCTGATGTACAGCGCCACCAGCTGGGCGGGAGGATGATCGTCCTCATTGGTTTCGGGTTTTTCCATGTAACGTCCTGACTTCAGGAAGGATCCCACCCAGCAGAGCTGCTCCTTCTCCAGCAGGGGGCGAACCAGGGACTCTGGAACTTCAGCAGCACCAGCCTTTAGATGCTCCATCTGGACACAGACAGAGTTTTTATTAATTCAGTAAATTATAATTGAAGCAAAATGTTACTGAGTGAATAACGTACTATCTCCATGATGTGGTCCAGAGTTTCCGGACCGGATTTGACCAAAGCAGCTAGAATCTTCTCTGGTAGATCTGCACAGAAACGTTTTCCTCAAGCCTTTAGGAAACTGTTCTCTGCTAAACAGCTTCAGGTAAAACTTCAGTTTTTTAGTCTAACCACAAAACTTTGCTGTTGGATTAAGGTCTAGACTTTGACTAGGCCATTTAAACACAAGGTCACCAAACATGTCAGCATCAAAGACAGTGAGTTAATGTCTGCTCTGATATTGGATGTGATCTCTCATGTTTTAGATAAAGGATAAGGAACGGTGAGTGAGAAGCGATTTACCGGCCAGAGCGCAGACCAGCAGCTGAAGAGCTCCGGCCTGCTCTCTGGAAGCAGATGAAACCAGATCCATGAACGAAGCTCCGGCTCCTTCAGGCTGAATTTCTCCATCAAGGATCCGATCCAGCTGACAGGAGACATGCAGAGTTTTACAGGCTGATCAGCAGCTGGTGCTGAGTGTGGATGTTGGATCTTACTGTGTCCTCCAGCTGAATCAGAGAACATCCTTCCTCCAGAACCACAGCCTGCCACACAGCGACGTTCTTCTCCAGTTCTGCAGAACCAACAGAAAACAGAAATCCTGAAGGATGGAAAGGAAGGAAACTAGACTAAAGAAAAGGTTTCTGTCTCAGCCAAGGCTGAAGAAACCTTCAGGTGGGAAAGAAAGAAAATATGAAATGTTTTAAATGTTTTATGGGTCTAATGATGTGAAGGCAAACTGATTTCTGGGAACTCTGGAGATTTAACATCAGACTAAAAATCTGTTCATAGAAACTCACCGCCGATCATGTCCTGTGCCAACGTCGTCTGTTTGCAGGTTCCCATCAGTTTTGTAACTGTGAAGTAAATGAATAGGAAACTTAATGTGGACATGGAGAGCGTTCTTCAATTTGACTTCATGTCAGTGTGAACATAAAATTAGCTAAAATAAAAAGGATCGAACCTGTGAAGATAAAAACAGAGAGTTAAGTTTTAAAATCACTATTAGGCTCAGATTTAAAAATAAAACACTTTGCTCTAACTCACAGTATTTCCATCCAGCTGCATCTCTTGGAGAACAAAACCAAAGGTTTTATTTTCTGGGAGGATGAAACTTTTTATTCCAGACATTTGACTCTGTAAAAACAAATCGGCGCAGCATGAAGCGAACCGATCACATCCGTCTGAAACTTTCATCTGCTGATTCTCTCCATCACTGAACTGGAGCCTGTTTGAACGGGGCGACCCCGTTATGAACCCGTTATAAATAAATGATTTATTTTATTATTTGGTTCAGAGCCAATCTGGACCAACAGTTCTGAACATTCTGCTCATCATCAGCCGTTTGGTTTTCCTCTTCAGGCTCATTTACTGATAAACAAATTTGTTTATTCTTAAACTTCAATTGGGGCCATTCGAGCTCCAAGAGCCACAAATGGCCCCCAGCCTCAGTTTGGCACCAAGCAGGGACCCAACATGTCGGACAAAACCAGCAAAGGAGCTCAGACACATTAGCTCCCCCACCTGGTGAGTCCAGGAAGGGCAGGAGGGACGGACCTGCTGCCTGCCTGGCACACCGGGGTCAGAGGTCACTTCTCCGACCTATGACCCTCCCTGCACCTCTGGTCCATCTGAACCAGCGCAGGAATTCATGAACTCTCTCCAACATGGCGTCTGTGTTAGCGTGACGTGTTGCTATGACTATGGATCTGTAGGTCTGAGGTGATGGTCCACCAGCAGCCGGGGCGGACTAGCATACCAAGCTAGCTCCATATCAACATGCATTTAAAATGTCAGCCAGTCTGCAGCGCCTGGTGGTTGAGCGGCTCATGAAGATCAACCAGCCTCAGTTTGATTCCCTGATTACTCACCTCATCAGAGACGTCGACAAAGCTAAATGCTGTTATTCCAAAAATCCCTCCAAACGAAGCTTCGCCCAGAACCTGGACCTCATCCTTGTTGTAGAATCTCTGCACCACAAAAGCCAGTTTCTCTCCGCTCTCCATCTTAAGGCCGTCCACAAATCCCTGCTCCAGTTCGCTGTAAATGATGAACACAAACAGAAAGACTGTTGGGTGAAACGTAGAGAAGGGTTCTGTTACTGTTATAATTAGTAACAGAATTAGATGAAGAGACTCTTACATTGTCTTGTGCCGTAGCTTTGCCAAGTCCTCGTCTCTGACAAACTCTTTCATCAGTCACTGGGCACATTGGGTCCTTAGAGTCCCGCTTGGCCCCCACTCTACCTGTGGCTCCATTATGTCCTCCTAAACAGATTCCCTCAACATGGTGGCTGATACTCTGGTAATCCTCCATGTGTGTTTTACTTTGAGGCTCTAAGGAAGAAGATGGAACAAGTTTCAGACATATTCAGTTTGGGCAGCTTAAAGGGTTAAATGAATGGAAGTCAATATGAAGTCCTCTATTGGCTGGAAGTACAAGTGTGTGTGTGTGTGTGTGCGTGTGTGTGTGTGTGTGTGTGTGAGTGTGTGTGTCAGTGTGTGTGTGTGTGAGTGTCAGTGTGTGTGTCAGTGTGTGTGTGTGAGTGTCAGTGTATGTGCGTTTGTTTGTAATACCTTGTGGGGACAATTTTCCTGACATATACTACGTTGTGGGGACCAATTGCTCCTTGTGGGGACCGGAGGGTGGTCCCCACAAGGGGAAACCCTGTTTTTGGGTCAGGGGTCAGAGTTAGGACTAAGGTATGAATTGAGTTTTGGTTGGATAGGGTTAGGTATGTGATGGTTAGGGTTAGGAAAAGGGTAAAGGTCAGGTTTAGGCTGTAGAAATGAATGGAAGTCAATGGAAAGTCCCCACAAAGATAGCAATACAAACATGTGTGTGTGTGTGTGTGTGTGTGTGTGTGAGTGTGTGTGTATTTGTTACTAACACAGACAGAGGTTTTCCTGGGTAAGATTGGTCAGTTTAAGTCTCAGTGGTTTTTATCTGTTGTTTGAATCAAACAGACCAAACTTCTTGTTCTGAATCTTGACCACGGTCAGCAGAGACCAGTCCCAGTTGTATCCCAGTTACTCTTCACAGACGGGTCCAGTTCTTTCCCCAAAACTTTGGTTAAACTCGGAAACAGACTCTGTGAACGTAAAGCAGAGACTCAACAAAATGACTGACATGAAAAGGAATATTACTGTTATGATGAGACTGATGGCAGATTTGTGCTTCTTCAAAATTATTTCATCTTCCTTGCATCACAATCATAAAGGTTTTATTTACAGATGAAAGCTAAGAAAGATGTTTCCTGCTGATCCATCAGTCAGTGTGAACAGATCTGGTTTGATCTGGTTTGGTCTGGTTTGATCTGGTTTGATCTGGTTTGGTCTGGTTTGATCTGGTTTGGTCTGGTTTGATCTGGTTTGGTCTGGTTTGATCTGGTTTGGTCTGGTTTGATCTGGTTTGGTCTCACATCACAGCTTCGTTCTCTGTCTGGTGGGAAGTTTTCATCCCTCAGGTCAGAAATGTGCAGATAATTTTCTTATCATCAGTAAATGTGGTCAAAAGTAGTTAGAGGCTATAGATTGATGTAAAATATTAAACATGAATCATCTTTCAAACCTCAAAGCAACAACATTTTTATTCAGCAGCAAAATCATGTCTGATGACGATGACTGCTGTCTTACCTCTGCCATGTTGGCTGCTGCAGGTTGGATCTGGAGACTTGAAGTGAATCGGAGCCGTTTCTTTAAATCAGAATGAAACTGGAATGAAACTGGAGCCGTTTCTTTAAATCGGAATGAAACTGGAGCCGTTTCTTTAAATCGGAATGAAACTGGAGCCGTTTCTTTAAATCGGAATGAAACTGGAGCCGTTTCTGCTCCAACATGCAGATGATGTGTTTTTACATGAATCAGATTCCTGAGCTGCTCCTTGGAACATGAGTGGGAATCTGTCCAACCGTCTTTTACGGGATGAAAACTGACAGAAGATGAGTTCATCATCATCATCATCATCATCATCATCATCATTACAAAGAAATCAATTACAGTCGCATCATGTTTGAATCCTACTTAGAGTGAAATGAACCATGATGAATGAATAAAATATGCTTCTGTTGAACACATCAAGGTTTTACCTCAAACTCAGTAAAAATAAACTGAAGTGTGAATTTCTCAATCATAATTTATTAAGATAAGCAGGAGATGGAAAGATAAAGCCATATGTATCTGCAGAGGAATAATGCTGAGGTTCAAAGTATCAAAACTAACCATTAAACTTTCTCTCTGTTAATATCTGCAGAGAGATGCAGTCTTATCACTGATTACTGATCTTTTAAAAAACTCAGATTTTGTCTGATACCAATTTTTTTCTGAAATGTTGTTCGATATAGTAAGAAACCTGTTGAGTTGGCAACAGTGGACTCACTATTGTTCACTGTAAATGTGCAGACGCAGCTTGGAGGGCCAGTTGGTCAGTTAAACCTTTTTCACCGGAGAGCAAGAGGACAGTGGTTGATTCTTAGACCTTTTCCAAGTTAGATAAGATCGGCTTCATATGTAAAAATCGGTCAATCATCAATCTCCCAAAATTAAGGAAATCGGCTGGACGATAAATTGGTGCACCGCTAATTCAAACTCCTTTGAAGTTCACAGAAAGCCAAGTGAAGTAGCTGTTGCTGTTCTCCTTCACTGCCTCAGAGACTAAAAGGTAGTTCTCACGAAACCTTTTGCCTGCATTGAATGCTGTCTCTGGATAATCCAGACATGGAATAGATGTCATCCAGACTTTGCTCCAGGCTGTGGTTGTACGGTTCCATTTCTCTGGTAATTAAAACAGGAAGTTCCTGAATATCTTTCCCTCTCAAGTCAAAGCACAAACACAGAGAAGCCTGTAGACACATGTAACCTGGATGACCAGGCCACTGAGGCGGGTGTGTTGAAGCAGCACTGCATCTAAAAGCTGCAGGTTGGTGGCGCTCATGGACTGGAGCTGAATGGTTGGTGGTGTTTCACCAATATGGAGACAACAGCTGCAACTTGGAGTGGAAGGTCACATTGAGTCGCAGAGGGAACGGCTCATGCAGAGGACCTCAGTGTGGAGAAGTCACCAACAATCTGCAGAGCAAAGAGCCAAAGACTCCAAGGCCCACACCAGTGGGTACCGGTGTCGACACCACAGCCGACACCGGCAACAAGGCAAAGCCTGACATAAACGGTAAAAATGCTTCATCAACTCCAGAAAACCCCAAAACGTTTCCCTTTACATTCAGGCTGATGGCGGTGAGCTACTGGGCTGAAGCCAGAGCTGGAGAACCGTTTTCTGGGAAACGAGCTTCAGACGGAGCCACACAGAAAATAACTGCTGAAAAAATGTGTCACTTTCTGCCAGAAGAGATTATTTACTTGTAAGTTTACAACCAGCACTCCCTGTAGTCGCTCATCACCACGCCCAGATCAAAGTGAAAAACCAGCATGAAGCAGCATTCTGGAGAGTAAGTCCAGATTCTGAACCTTTGGCCGGTTGTCGGCCTCATCAGGGTTGCAGTTCTTCTCTCTGAACTCTGATGGTTTCACAGCCTCTTCTTCCCCATGTGAACACAGACACTGTCCCTGAGGCCCAACCCCGAACGGCAGCGAGTTCTCCTGCTTTATACCTTTGTGACCTTTTGGACGAACTGATAAAATCATCCGTCTTGACTGGAAAATTCTCCCTTTTGGCTTTGAAACTCTGTTCCTCATCTGACCATCATTACATCTTATCCATTTGAAATCAATGCATTTAAATAACAGACCTACTTTCCACGTCACATTAGAAAATATTGATATTGTTCAATATTAATTATTGAAATTTGTAGCATTCAGTTCTCCAGAGTTATGAAATATCATCTGACTGCTTACAATTTTAACTTATGTAACTCATACAACGTACATCAGCTTTCCATCACATTTGCAATCAAAACATCATCTAAATAGCAAACTTATCAGAGACGTTTCCAACTTCCTGTGATTAAAGATTAAAGCATTTTTCATAAGACAGAACAGCTTCCTGACCTGTACGAAGGATTTTCTTGTTGGTTTCAGATGTTTCCTTGTTTTACTAGTTTCAGGTCGACTTCTGAAACCCTGAACTGGTTCAACACACTAGACTGTCTGAAAGGGCCTGGAGATAACTGTCCCTGTTAAATCTACCAGTTTTGTCTCATTACTGCTGATAAACTAACCATTATTCAAACCTGAAACAATCCTAAAACCCTCAAGTTATTCTAAAACCATCTAATCTGGCCTCATTTAATCCTGATTTCTTATCTTCTCTCCATCCTGGAGTTTCATCTTCCTAACTAATCTCCTCATGAAACACTTATAACCTTTAAGAAAGGAAGAATCTCAATGAACGTTAACGTGAGTATTCTACATTGACCTGTAAAGAATAAAACTTCCTTCAAGGACGTCTCCAGCTTTCACTCACTGAGAGCGTCTGTAATCACAACTGTGACTATAATAATAATGGAGGAAGTTGGGTTGCAGTCTGAGAGAGGAATTCAAATGATTGATTTTTTTTGTAAATAATAAATAATAATAAATAATCCCATTTCTTTTACAGAACCTCTTACCTCAGTCAGGAAACTGTAACTTTCTCCTCGCCTCCTGCTGTTCTCTGATGAGCCACAACCTTCAAAACACTTCAAGCAAAACTGAGGCTCCTCCTCTGACATGTAATTGTGCCATAGATCTATTATCTGGTGCTTCTCTACCTTCTTGGAGATGTTTCACCTGTCAGAGCTAGAATGTGACATGAAGTCAGCCATCATTGTTGCCATTCCAACTAAAAACCTCCACCTGTCGACTCGTCCGAGCTTCAGCTTCTGCTTCTTTCAGTTCAACTTTTAAATTTCCTTTAGTTCCTTTTATTATGGAAAGTTTAACTAACTTTTCAGAAAAACATTCTCCAAACACATTCCTCTAAACCAGTGGTTCCCAAACTTTTTCTTCTGCGCCCCCCCAGTGGTTTCCAAATATTTTCTGCGCCCCCCCTATGGATTACAAATGGCTGTCTGGTTGAAGACGCTTGTCACGGGGGGTCGACTTTTTTGGGGGAAAAATGAATGAACGTAGCTG